GGATATGGGCCTCCTGGTCAAGACGGAGCCGCTCCCCGCGCCCGCTGGACCCGTCTGGGGTAGGCCCCCAGGCCCAGCGGCGGTCGCCCTCGAGCGCCTCCGAGCGGCCTCCGCGCATTCCATCGCCCCCGTTCTCTCCGACGCGGGCTTGCAGGGTGGCGCCCGCGCGGTCGCGGCGAAGCCCCTTGGCAAGCGCTGCATCCTCCGTTTCAAGGATCTTCCCGAGCTGGGTGCCCGACGCGCCAGCAAAGCGCTGGGCTGCGCGAGCCTGGGCCGCGGGGAATGGCGCAAGCCGAAGTCCACCGCGCCTGCAGGACACGCCGTCGACATCCACGCATCGGCCGACCAGAACCGCAAGCAGGTTGCCCACGAGCTCATCCTCAGGAGGCTGGCCATGGCGCTGGGGCGCCTGGTTGAGCCATCCAAGCGCGTCTTCATCGACAAGCAGGGCCACGCACTCGCGTCGTCGCGGAAAGCCCCCCCCGCGCCTCCGTTACCAGCCCCGCCGCCGCCCCGCAGGCCACGCGGTCGCCCGCCGCCCTCCGCGCCCTCGGCCCGCGGCGGGGGGCCTTCGAACCGACGGGAGGCAACGCTGGCGCCGCAGCCTGAAGACTGGTCTCCTTAGAACCTGCGTGAAGCTTTTCGCCGCCCCGTCGATCACGGGGCTCGCGTTCGCCACGCGGAATTCAAGGGCATTCTGTCGTCGCGAGGCGGACGGGGCGGCTCGCGAGAGCGACTACCTCAAAATACGCGTTCCGCGCCGGGGTCGCGGCCGGCGCGCAAGAGGCCGACGGGTCGGCCGCGCGCTGGCAGGCGCTGATTGACCGGGCGGGGCTAGAATGCCAGATGTTCACCTGTTTCGGCGGCGGCGCCAGCGAGTCTCTCGGCGGCGTCGCCACCATCTTCCCATTCAAGGAGCGTGGCGGCCTCTCCTTTTCCCATTCGGGTTTCGTGGAGGCGAGGGCGCAGCGCGTCACGGCCACCATCGCATCGGGCGAGCATGCGAGCTACACAATGAAGCACAGGAACATCCGCGACCACGACCTCTCGCGCGAGCATGTGTCAGCCGCGGCTGTAGCCACCAATCAAGATCTCCACGCCATGGCGCTAGCGCCACAGCGGCGCTTCGCCAGTGCCTCGGGCGACGCCAAGCACGGCGAGACTCGCGGCCGCCACGGAGATGGCCCCGAGCAGGCCCACGCACTGGCACCCCGAATGTCGGATAGCCACGTCGATCGACGAGATATGGATCGGTGCCCCGCGCTGGACGGTCGCTCAGACGCACCAACAGGGCTAAGTACACGGATAATCGCATGAGCTCCACCGCCAGGACATCTCGGACCACGTGCTGCCATCGCTCTCCTGGACTCCCAGACCGCCCAAGCGACGACCCACCACTGGCGAGATCAACCCGATCCCCCAGCCCCGTCACCGACAACCTGGAGTTCGCTGAGATGGTCGCCGCACACGAGGCCCAGGTCCCCCTCCAGCTACTGTCTCCGCCCGGCCGCGCCCACTGCTACACGGGGCCCCACCCGGTCTGCTGCTGCCGCCGCCAGAAACGCGCCCCTCAGGGGGGGGGGCATGGCAGACGGCGCCGGCGGCTCTGATCCGGCGGCAACTCGGACGTACCACACGGCGGCAAGTCCTCAAGCCTGCCGAGACCCTCCTCCGCAACCGCACGTGGACGCGCCAGATGGTCGAGATCCGCCCCGCTCCTGGGCCTGGCGGGCGGAGATTGCATCTGCTTCAGCCGGAAGAGTTCTCGCGCCGCCGCCGGTTGGCGCAGCGCCGCGAGACGCGGGCGCAGCTGCGACGTCGCCGGCAGGGCATCGGCGCCGAGCCGAGGAAGCCGCCCTCGTTCGACGACAGCGGGCCCTCCGCCGTCGCGCGGCCCTCTGGGCGCCGCCCTCGGCTCGGCGCTTCCTGGGCGGCATCGAGCTCCCCGGCGACTCCGTCGTCAGATCGGGGGCGGACGCCCGGCGGGCCCTGGCGGCCCACTGGCGCGGCGTCTTCGGCGACGACGCGCGGCCGCGGCAGCAGCTCGCCGACGCTTGGGCCCGCGAGCAACCCTGGCCGCCCATGACCTTCAGGGGCGGGGCCCTCGCGCCGCTCGACCGCGCGCCGCCGCGCCACGTGACGCGCGAGCTCGAGACGCAAGCGGGCTACCTGCAGCACTCCGGCACCCGGGGCGGGGACAGGGCCCCGCTGCCACCCCTGTCCGCGCGCGCAGTCGGCATCGCCCTCCGCGGGGCGCGCGCCGCGGCGCCTGGCCCAGATGGGTTGGGCCCCAAGGCCTGGCTCGCCTCTCCCTGCGGGGTCCAGACCCTGGCGGCCGCGATGGAGCGGCAGCTGGGCGGCCTTCCCGCGCGCCAGGACTGGAACTTCTCCGCGGGCGTCTCCCCTGCCAAGGGCTCTCGCGACGACGACCCGCAGGAGGTCCTCCGCCGCGCCGGAGAGACCAAGCCGCTGGCGCTGGAGAACTCTTCCAAGAAAGCGATCATGTGGTCGCTCAACGCGCGCACGAAGGGGGCGGCGGAGCTGCGCTGCGTCGTCGCGAAGTGCGGCTTCCTCCGAAGCCGCAACTTCTGCAACAATATACCAACGCATAGCTTCGCCATCCCGCTCGCTGCCCCCCTCTCGGGCGAGCTCGCCCGGGGCGCGCGCGAGCGTCTGGCGGCTGCCGACCCTGCCTGGGAGACCTTCCACAGCGTCGACTGCCTCGAGCACGTGGGCGCGACGATGGGGCCCGGGGCGACTCCTGCTGCTCAATGGCGACTGCCGCTCCCGAAGCATGCTGACCGTGTCAGGGAGACTGCCAGGGGCCGTGCTGACACCCACTCCGCAGCGCTTCTTTACCGCGAGGGGTGCCTCTCTGCGTCGGCGCACAAGGCGCAGCTTGTCAAGTCGTCGCGTGACCTCAAGGAGGTGGAGCGCGGCCTGCTGGCGAGGCTGCTCCGCCTCCCTGGGAGCTTCTTGGGAGACGGGGTTTGGCGCGAACGCCCCGAAGTCGGCGGGCCGCCCATTCCGTCGGCCCCCCAGTGGTGTTCAGCCGCGCTGGCGCGCGCAGCCACGATGACGTCGACGGCCTGGCGCGAGGCGGCTGCTGCCCTCCGACGCGCTGCCGGGTGGAACCCCCCGACCGCGCGCGCGGTCGCAGGGCGCCCGTGGCCAGCGTTGTGGCAGAGCGACGCCTTCGCCACGACCCTTTGAGCAGGCGGCGGGCGGCCTCGGGGGCCCGCCGCGCGCCGTCGCCGCCCGCGCCCTCCGCCAGGCCCCCGCTGCGCCAGCCAGCCGAGCGCCCCCGTGGCCCTGCTGCGGAGGAGGGCGAGGGTGGGGGCCAAGAGCTGGCGCCGCGTGCGCGCGCACAGAGTCTCCTCCACCCCATCCATCCTTCGATCGTCGCTCCCTGTCCCTCCTGCCCCTCCTCTCCTCCGTCGGCGTCTGGGCTCTCGTCTGAACTGCTGGTTCGGGACCTCTCCCGCCGACGCTGCCGCGATGGACTGGTCGGCCGCCGTCTCGGCAATGCTTCGTGCTCCCCCCTCCTGGAGGAGTGCCAGCGGCAAGACCTCGGGGGGGATCACGGAGTCGAGGATGCGCGCGCAACCCGTATAGGGGCTGCATCTGGGGATGTCCTGGGGCCCGCGACTCGCTCAAGCATTACCATGTATATGCTCGTCCGTAGGCAGTTCGGATATGATGAAGCCGCTCCCCCATGTTTTGGACCCCCTCCTGGCCCTCGGTCTCATCCACCCTCATTCCGAAGCCCTTAAATTCACTGCTGTGCATTTCCAGCTTTACAGACTCGCCCATCAGGAGAGTAGGCGGTGCACCCTTCCATATAATGTGGCCGACGCCACCTCCCTCGCTCGTGCTGCCCTTCAGGCTGTCGAGATGCCCCTCGGAGGTACTCGTCGCAGGCGGCCCAGGCGTAGATGAGGCTAGGTTTCGGAGACCCGTCCCCCCCCTTGACGCTCCAACCTCCTCCTCCTCCTCCTCATCCTCCTCCTCCTCCTCCTCCTCCTCCTCATCATCATCATCATCATCATCATCATCATCATCATCATCATCATCATCATCATCATCATCATCATCATTCCTCCTCCTCCTCCTGCTTCCCTCCCTCCTCCTCCCTCCCTCCCCTCACTCCCAACCTCCCTCCTCCCTCCCCTCCCCTCCTCCTCTCCTCCTCCTCCTCCTCCTCCTCCTCCGCCCTCCTCTTCCTCCTCCTCCTCCTCCTCCTGCCTCCTCTTCGTCCTTCTCCTCCTCCTCCTCCTCCTCCTCCTCTTCCTCCTCCGCCTCCTCCTCCTCCTCCTCTTCCTCCTCCTCCTCTCCTCTTCCACCTCCTCCTCCTCCTCCTCCTCCTCCTCCTCCCTCCTCTTCCTCCTCCTCCTCCGCCGCCTCCTTTTCCTCTCCTGATCCTCCTCCTCCTCCTCCTCTCCTCCTCCTCCTCCTCCTCCTCCTCCTCCACTCCTCCTCCTCCTCCTCCTCCTCCTCATCATCATCATCATCCTCCTCATCATCCTCCTTCTCTTCTTCCTCCTCCGCCTTATGGGAACAGCGCAGAGAGAGCGGGGATCCACGGCGAGAAGGATATGGAAGGAGCACGGAAAGCATAAATCCCCCTTTGAAGTTCACGAATTCTCTGAAGTCAATGATGAGCAGTAGGCAACGGGTAGGGGGTGGAAATCCCTGTCGCAGTCGAGGAGGAGGAGGAGGAGGAGGAGGTGGAGGAGGAGGAGGAGGAGGTGGAGGAGGAGGAGGAGGAGAGGTCGGAGAAGCGGAAGAGGAGGGGAGGAGGAGGAGGAGGAGGAAGGAGGAGGAGGAGGAGGAGGAGGAGGAGGAGGGGATGGTTGTTCTGGGGGGTGCATGTCTTTCTCCCGCCGACCTCGTCCCCCTTTTTACCCTCTCCCGCCCCGGGCGCCCCTCCCCAGTTCTCCCGCCCCCCGCCCCCGGCACCCCCGCGCTGCCCGTGGCCCCCGCCGGGCCAGCCGGCAGAGGAGCCCGTGGGACACGCTCCTCGAGTCCAGCGGGCGCAGCGCCGTGGCGGAGGAGCGGAGCCACGAGAGCATCATGTTCCACCCGCGGTTCGCGGCCGGCCAGATTTTCACCCCAGAGCTGTGGGGGCCTCGTGGCATCAGGAAGAGGGGCGGGCCTCGAAGTCTGTTTGCCGTCGCGGGTGCAGGAGGAGGAGGAGGAGGAGGAGGAGGAGGAGGAGGAGGGAGGAGGGAGGAGGGAGGAGGGAGGAGGGAGGAGGAGGAGGAGGAGGAGGAGGAGGAGGAGGAGGAGAGAGAGGAGGAGGAGGAGGAGGAAGGAGGAGGAGAAGGAGGAGGAGGAGGAGAAGGAGGAGGAGAAGGAGGAGAAGGAGGAAGGAGGAGGAGGAAGGAGGGAGGGAGGAGGAGGAGGAGGAGGAGGAGGAGGAGAGAGGAGGAGGAGGAGGAGGAAGAGGGTGGGAAGAGGGAGCAGAGAAGAAGCAGGAGGAAAGAGAAGAAAGAGGAAGGAGGGGGTGGAAGGAGGAGGAGGCGGAGGAGGAGGAGGACGAAGGAGGAGGAGGAGGAGGAGGAGGAGGAGGGGGAGGAGGAATGAGAAACAGGGAGGAGGAGGAGGAGGAGGAAGTGGGAAGAGGAGAATGAGGACGAGGAGAAGGAGGAGAAAAGAGGAAGCAGGAGGAGGGAGGAGGGAGGAGGAAGGCGGAACGAGGGGAAGGAGGAGGACGAAGCGGAGGAGGAGGAAGAGGAGGAGGAGGAGGAGAAGAAGGAGCAGGATGGTGGTGATGGTGATGGTGATGATGATGATGATGATGATGATGATGATGATGATGATGATGATGATGATGATGATGATGATGATGATGACGGTGATGAGGATGAGGATGGGGATGGGGATGAGGATGGGGATGAGGATGAGGATGAGGAGGAGGAGAATGAGGATGGTGATCATGATGGTGATGATGATGGTGATGATGGTGTTGATGATCATGTTGATGATGATGGGGATGATGATGGTGATCAGGATGATGATGCTGGTGGTGATGATGACGACGACGATGCTGATGACGATGATGATGCTACTGATGATGATGATGATGCTGATGATGGTGATGGTGGTGGTGGTGATGGTGATGGTGATGGTGATGATGATGATGAGGAGGAGGAGGAGGGCGATGAAGATGGTGATGGTGATGATGACGATGCTGATGATGCTGGTGGTGATGATGATAACACGATGAAGGTGATGATGATGATGATGATGCTGATTATGATGATGAGTATGATTACGTGTTTGATGGTGACGATGTTGATGGTGTTGCTTATGATGATGCTGATGATGATGGCCATCATGATGATGATGATGATGATGATGATGATGATGATGATGGTGAAGGTGATGATGATGATGTTGATAATGTTGATGATGATGGTGCTGGTGACGGTGACGACGATGGTGATGACGATGGTGATGCTGATGGTGATGGTGATGCTAAGTATGATGAGTATGATGATGATGATGATGATGATGATGATGAGCATGATGATGATGTTGCTGCTGATGAAGATGATGATGATGATGATGGTAATGGTGATGGTGACGGTGGTGGTGATGGTGATGGTGATGATGATGATGATGCTGATGATGATGATGATGATGATGCTGATGCTGGTGATGATGATGATGATGATGAGGCTGATGTTGATGATGATGAGGATGAGGATGAGGATGAGGACGATGATGATGTTGATGATGGTGATGATGATGATGGTGATGGTGGTGATGATGATGATGAACTTGATGATGATGATGATGATGATGGTGATGCTGATGATGATGATGAATGATGGTGGTGATGATGATGATGATGATGCTGATGCTGATGCTGATGCTGATGCTGATGATGATGATAATTGATGATGATGATGAGGAGGAGGAATGAGGATGAGGATGAGGATGAGGATGATGGGATGAGGATGATGTGATGATGATGATGATGTGGTGGTGGTGGTGGGTGGTGATGATGATGATGATGATGATGATGATGATGAGGATGAGGATGAGGATGATAGGGATGAGGATGATGATGATGATGATGATGATGAGGATGAGGATGAGGATATGAGGATGAGGATGAGGATGAGGATGATGATGATGGTGATGATGATGATGATGATGCTGATGATGCTGATGATGATGCTGATGATGATGATGATGATGCTGATGATGATTGATGATGATGCTGATGATGATGATGATGATGAGGATGATGATGATATATGCTGATGATGATGATGATGATGATGATGATGATGATGATGATGATGATGATGATATGATGATGATGTGATGATGATGATGATGATATGATGATGATGATGTGATGATGATGATGATGATGATGATGATGATGATGATGATGATGATGATGATGATGATGATGATGATGATGATGATGATGATGATGATGATGATGATGATGATGATGATGATGACGACGACGACGACGACGACGACGACGAGGACGAGGACGAGGACGAGGACGAGGACGAGGACGAGGACGAGGAGGATGAAGAGGAAAAGGACGAGGAAGAGGAGGAGGAGGAGGAGCATGAGGAGGGCGCAGAAGGAGGAGGAGGAGGAGGAGGATGAGGAGGGCGGAGGAGGCGGAGAAGCAGGAGGAGGAGGAAGATGAGGAGGGGGAAGAGGAGGAGAGTAGCGGAGTAGGAAGGAGGAGGAGGAGGAGGAGGAGGAAGAGGAGGAGGAGGAGGAGAAGGATGGAGGAGGAAGGCGGAGGAAGGAGGAGGAAAATGAACAAGAGCAAGGAGTCGGAGGAGGAGGAGGAGGAGGAAAGGAGGGGAGGAGGAGGAGGGGGAGGAGGGAGCATGATGAGGAGGAGGGTCCAGGAGGAGGCCGCAGGAGCAAGGGGCAGGAGCAAGGGGCAGGAGGAGGAGGAGAAGAAGGAGGAGGATAAGAAAAAAGAAAAGCAGGAGGGAGATAAGGAGGAATGTGAAGAGGAAGAGGAGGAGGAGGCGGAGGAGGAGGGGGGAGGGGAGGGGAGGAGAAGCGGAGCAGGAGGAGGAGGAGAAGGATGGAGGAGGAAGAGGAGGAGAGGAGGAGGAGGAGGAAAATGGACAAGATGAACAAGAGCAAGGAGTCGGAGGAGGAGGAGGAGGAGGAAGAGGAGAAGGAGGAGGAGGAGGAGGAGGGGGAGGAGGGAGCATGATGAGGAGGAGGGTCCAGGAGGAGGCCGCAGGAGCAAGGGGCAGGAGCAAGGGGCAGGAGGAGGAGGAGAAGAAGGAGGAGGATAAGAAAAAAGAAAAGCAGGAGGGAGATAAGGAGGAATGTGAAGAGGAAAACAAGGGAGGGGGGGGGGGGGAAAAGGAGGGGGAGGCGGAGGAGGAGGGGAGGAGGAAGCAGCAGCAGGAGAGTAGGGGGATAGAGGGAAGAGCAGCAGGAGAGAGGAGGCGGAGGGAGGAGCTGGAGGAGAGGAGGAGGAGGAGGAGGAGGATGGAGGAGGAGGAGGACGGGGAGGAGGAGAAGCAGGAGGAGGAGCAGGAGGAGGAGGAGGAGGAGGAGGAGGAGGAGGAGGAGGAGGAGGAGGAGGAGGAGGGAGGAGGGGGAGGAAGAGTGGGAGGAAGAGGAGGAATGAGTAAGAGGAGGGAGGAAGAGGGGGAGGGAGGAGGAGGAGGAAGAGAGGAAGATGAGGAGGGACAGGAGGAGAAACAGGCAGGGAGGAGGAGAAGAGAGGGGCAGAGCAGGAGGAGGAGGAGGAGGAGGAGGAGGAGGAGGAGGAGGAGGAGGAGGAGGAGGAGGAGGAGGAGGAGGAGGGAGAGGAGGAGGAGGAGGAGGAGGCAGTGAGGGGTGAGGGATGAAGGAAGGAAGGAGGAAGAAGGAAGGAAGGATAAGAAGGAAGAAGAAGCGGAAGGAGGAGGAGGAGGAGGAGGAGGGAGGAGGAGGAGGAGGAGGAGGAGGAGGAGGAGGAGAGGAGGGAGGAGGAGGGGGTGGAGGGGGAGGGGGAGGGGGGGAGGCGGAGGAGGAAGGGGAGGAGGAGGAGGAGGAGGAGGAGGAGGAGGAGGAGGAGGAGGACGAGCCGGAGAAGGCGGAGAAGGCGGAGAAGGAGGAGGAGGAGGAGGACGAGGAGGAGGAGGAGGACGAGAAACGGGAGTTGGAGGAGGAGGAGGAGGAGGAGGAGGAGGAGATGGATGAGGAGGAGGAAAGGTGAGTAGGAGGAGGAGGAAGAGGAAGAGGCGGAGGAGGGAGGAGGAGCAGGAGGAGGAGGACGAGGAGGAGACGAAGACGAAGACGGAGGAGAAGGAGGAGGCGGAAGAGGACGAGGAGGAGGGAGGGAATGGAGGACAAGCTGGGTGCGCAAGCGTCTTGTCTGACGTCCTACTCCTCCCTCGCATCACTTACCATGGCGTTGATATCCCCTGTCTCTTCGCGCAGTCGGATGTTGTAGCATAGCAAAACATTACAAGGCACAGGATGGTTTTGAAGATAAACGCGTAGCATGAGATAGCATGGCGTGGCACTGCGTAGTCAAGTACTGCATATCATAGCATTGCAGTTGAAGGCATGGCATCGCACAGCGGAACACACCATAGCATTGCATTGCAATGCCATGACATGGCACTGGGAATGAGGCCAGCGCTACGGCGGGAGCACGATTCGGAACAAGCGAAAGCACGGAAATTAGGCCAGCGCTGCAGCGGGAGCACGGTTCGGAACGAGCAGAAGCCCTAAAATGAGGCCAGGTCTGTATCGGGAGCAACATTTTGAAGGACTGGAAAATATGGATGTGTAAAAACACATGGAAGACCAATTCGCTGGATACAAACCCGTACGCGGAGGGAGGCCGAACATCTTCCGGACAGATTCAGGGGAGAGAGGAGAGTAGTTTCATATTGTGCAATTGCGGAGGGAGGAGGAGGAGGAGGAGGAGGAGGGAAGGAAGGAGGAGGAGGAGGAGGAAGAGGAGGGCAGAGGAGGAAGAGGAGGAGGAGGAGGAGGAGGAAGAAGAGGAGGAGTGGGAGGAGATGGAGGAGGAAGAGGAAGAGGAGGAGCAGGAGGAGCAGGAGGAGTAGGAGGAGGAGGAAGGAGGAGGAGGAGGAAAGAGGAGGAGGAGGGAGGAGGAGGAGGAGGAGCAGGAGGAGGAGGCGGAGGAGGAGGAGGAGGGAGGAGGCAGGGGATGACGATAGGGGGGACGGTCAGTCAGAGGGAAAACAGACATGACACAGGACGCGAAATGCAAATGGACGTTTTGGAAAGCGGGCCGCGCAAAATGAGATCAGCGCTGCAGCGGGAGCATGATTTCGAATGACCGAATCCGCGGAAATGAGACCAGTGCTGCAGTGGGAGCACGATGTGAAAGGATTGGAAGCGCGGAGCCGAAGCCAACGCTGCAGCAGGATAATGATTTGGAAGAACAAATGGAATGAGGGCAGCGCTGCAGCGGGTACATGATTTGGAAGGACTGAGAATGGGAAAATGAAGCCAACGCTGTAGCGGGAGCGCCATTCGGAAAGGACTGAAAGCGTTCGGATTTGACCAAAAACGTATCATTCTCAACTCGGCGGCATCTTGCGAGCCAGAAATACGCGGAGGAGGCCAGGACACCTCACCAGTGTCTTCGGGGGAGAGAGGAGAGTAGCATTCATGATGTATCATTGATGAGGGGGAGGAGAGGGCTGGAGGGGGAAGGGGAGGAGGAGGCCGAGAAGGCGGAGGAGAGGAAGGGAGAGGGCTGGAGATTAGTCGGGCACAGCTTCCGCGGGTCCACCCCATGCCATGTGAGGGTCGGAGGAGAAGCGAAGCCTTCCCTCGCACCTGCCCTCTGCGTGCAAGAGGCGGCAGATGTCTACGGAATTGCGCTTGCCGACGAGCACCACGAAGTGCGAGGGGTGTGCGGCGCCAGCCCCTTCCCCTGCGCCGGAGGAAGCAGAGACATGTGGGACAGTATGCACGGATGTAGGTTTGCATTTTGGATGTGTGTTTGTACCCTGGTGCCCGGCCCACCGCTCGCTACGATGGGATGTGGCCTCGGGTGCTCAGCGCCTTCCGCGCTGCAAGAAGAGAAGCCGAAGTTGCAATGGAACAGCCTGGCCCTGAAAGTAACATGAGACCCTCGTACTACCTCCTACCTACCCCTAGCCCCTCCGAGCAGCTTGACGCAGGCAAGTGTCCTAAGCCTCCTATATCTGGTACTTCGTGGAGGTGCGGGCCACACGGCGGCCATTCAGCCTCGAAATCTGTGGGCACACCGTGAACAGAAGCTGCGGCTGGTGATATGGTTTCCACTGGTCGATAGCGCATTTGATTGCCTTGCGAATGCACGCAGCAGACCAGCCGAACCTGCACGGGGCGATTCTATAACCTGCTGAGTGGAACCAGCGGTCGGGAGCGGAAGAGAACCATAGATGGCGGCCCCTTTGGATCGTGCGAATGCACGTGGCTTGAACTAAATGTTTGGATATGTTTTCTGCAAGCCGCCACTCAAGAATCGGCAGTGCGGCGGCACGTGCACCTACGACGCAACCCACAGGCCAAGATGCACGGACGTGCGGCGGGTGTCCCGCAGGGGCGCAGCGGTACCCATACGAGAGTGTGGGGGGGAGGAAGACGAGGAGGAGGAGAAGGAGGAGGAGGAGGAGGCGGAGGAGGAGGAGGAGGAGGAGGCGGAGGAGAAGGGGGAGAGGAGGAGGAGGCGGAGGAGGAAGGAGGAGGAGGAGGAGGAGGAGGGAAGAGGATGTGGAGGAGGAGGGGGAGGGGGAGGAGGAGGAGGAGGAGGAGGAGGAGGAGGAGGAGGAGGAGGAAGAGGAGGAGGAGGAGGCGGAGGAGGCAGTGGAGCGAGGATGAGGAGAGAGGAGGAGGCGGAGGGGACGGAGGCAGGGAGGCAGGGAGGCAGGGAGGGAGGGAGGGACGGAGGGAGGGAGGCAGGGAGGCAGGGAGGCAGGGAGGAGGAGGAGGAGGAGGAGGAGGAGGAGGAGGAGGAGGAGGAGGAGGAGGAGGAGGAGGAGGAGGAGGAGGAGGAGGAGGAGGAGGAAGAGCAGGCGAGCGCACTGAAGCCGTGCAGAATCTTGAGGAAAATCAGTGTGCGTATGTGTTTGTGCCTGTGTCTGTGTCTGTGACTGTGTCTGTGTCTGTGTCTGTGTCTATGTTTGTGTCTGTGTCTGTGTCTGTGACTGTGTGCGTGTGTGTGTGTGTGCTACCTCTGGAGGTCCCGCGGAGTGGGCATACACGGAGATCGAGTTAAGACCTCGAGGCTCCCTGGGGGGCTGCGAAGTGTGCAACCGTCGCCACTTTCGTGGCATCCTGGATGTCCAGGAAGTGCCAAGCCTGCCACGCTCTGCGAGCCCACAACGGACAGGGGGAACACCCCCAGCGCACCCCCTTGTGGTGTCGATGAAGTGCCAAGCCTGCCACACTTTGCGAGCCCGCAACGGATAGGGGGACCACCCCCAACGTCCTCTTAGAGAACTGATGGGCCGTTTTGAGGACGTCTTGAGCAGTCTTGGGTTAGTCCTGGGGGCCTTTTGGGTTGTGTTGGGGCCAGCTTGGACCGTCCTGGGCCATCTTGAGGCCCCCCAGAGCCGCATCAAAGCCCTCGTCGACCCTCAAGAAGCCCAAGAAGTCAAAAGTGCTGATTGGTTGTCGTGGGAATGTCCGGCAGCTAATGTTTATGCAATTGTTGTGGTCCGTCTGCGAAGGTTTCCAGAGGCTCTCGAGGTCTTTCGCAGGTTCCCGTGGATTTTCAAAGGGATTTCGGGCTGGGGGGGGTCTGGAGATCGTCGGGCTTCCAGAGTTATCATATGTATTTAGACGGTGTTCGAAGGTTTCCGATGGCATTGGATCCGCTTCCCATACCACCACACCAGAAAATCGCGCCTCGTGTCGAGCGTGACGCTCGTGTGAGGCTGCGCTTCTGTCCCGTGATTCTGCTTCTCTCCGCCGTATGATCGGCGCCTGAACTGCCAGCGCAGGGTCGCGCAGTGGCCCTCTCTTTCAGGTGGTGCTCCGCCCAAGCGGCCTTGGCAATCCACCGCGCAGGGTCGCCATGCTCTCTTGTAGATGACGTCGTTCTCCTTGCCGTTCCGAGCGAGGTTGCGCAGCTACCGGCTCAGGCCGAGCGGAGCGGCGGGCGCGACTTGGCGCGGGGAGCCTGCGGTGCCGAGCACGGCGATGGCGCGCATTGCGCGGCGCTCGCTGCGGCTGCGGGAGGTGCCGCTGTTCAGCCTCCGAGGGGGCATGCCCAGGGGCGACGGGGGCGAGACCGCGCTGAACTTGTTCGAGCCGCGCTACGTGGAGCTCGCGCGTCGAGCGAACCCGTCGACCTCGAGAGGGCAGTTCGGCTACACGGACGTTGCTCAGAGGCGGAAGGGTGGCAGCGGCGTGCTCGTCAAGATCGACGAGAGTGGGATGCGGTGGGCCAGCAAGGAGGGCCCCGTGAGCGTCTTCGGGCGAGGCCAGAGGCGGTTCCGCGTGCTGTCCCTCGCGGCCGAGCAGGTCGGAGATGGCAGCACCGCGCCCCTGCACGTGGCGTGCGTGCAGCTCCTTCACGACAGGGACCTGGCGCGCTTCCCCGCCAGCTTCGTGGGGCTCGCCGAGGAACCCTGTCAGGAGCCGCCGGAGACCATCTTTGGCCAGGTCTACACGGAGGAGCAGGGCGGCTGGGGCTATGCCTCCTACCACTTCGAGGAGGGCGGCGCTTACATCTCCTACGAGAGCGCGCTCTGCTCCAACTTCCCCGCCCTCGACGACGGCTCCATGCCCCCTGCCAGGAAATATTTCTGTGAGGGCGCGACGTTCGACCTGGCCTCGCGGACGTTTCGGGGGTCGGTGAGCTGGCATCCCACCACGTGGCAGGGCGATGAGCGATGGGAGTACGAGATGGTGTTCTCCTCTGACCTGGAGGCCATCGTTGGCGGGAGCGTGCACAGGATCGCAAAGGACGGCGGCGAGGTCGGGCACCCCCGCCAGGACCGCTTCGGCGTGAACCTCTGCTACCGGCGCGCGCGGGTGGGCCTCGACGGCAGCGACGCGGCCGTGCGGGAGGCCCTGCTGCGCTCCGGCCTCTCGCCCGCCGACGCCGAGGCCTCGCTCGCGGCCTCCTCCAGCGGCAGCTCCGCCCGGGCCCCGGCCGCCGCCCCGCCGCCGCGCGCGGCGGCCGCGGCCGCTCCCGTGCGGGCCGGCATGCGCCAGCGGCGCCGCCTCCGGCACGCCTCCCGGGCCGCGCTCGCGAAGGCGGGCGGCGAGGTGGTGCGGCTGGGGGCCGTGCGGGCGCTGGCGGGCCTGGCGGCGCCGCCGGGGCCCGTGCTGGAGGCGGAGGACGCGCTGCACGCGCTGCTGCGCCGGCTGTCGGGCGAGGAGGGCTCCCTGGAGGTGCAGCTGGCCGCGGAGGGGGCGCTGCTGTCCTGCTGGGCGCAGTCCGGCGACGCACAGGTCGACGCGGAGCTCAGGAGGGGCGCGGCGCACCTGGAGGACCAGCGTCTGCCGGAGGCAGTCGCCGCCTTCACCCGGGTGACCGAGGCCCAGAGGAAGCCCGATCTTCGATCGATCCCTGGGTTCTCCAGTCAGCCGCCAGAGTGCATCCATGTCCACCGCCTGGGAGCCGTGGCCCCAGGAGCTGGGGGGCCTGTCGCGGAATGGCGGATGCAGATGCCTGTCCGCCGCCAGAGGGCGGGAGAGGATCTGCACCCTCCGCTCGCCAGGGACCAGGGCAGGGCTCCAGCAGCTGTGGACGTGGATGTGTCCTGGCGGTGCACCTGGAGGCTCCAGAGGGGTAAAAAAAGAGAGCCCCAAAACTTTGAGGCCGCCCCGGGCTTCGCGGAGGGCTGGAACAAGCGGGCTACCGCGCTGTGCGTGCAGGGCGAGTACAGCCGCGCCATCGCAGACTGCGAGCGCGTGCTTGCCCTGAAGCCGCGCCACTTCGGCTGCCTCACGGGGCTCGGCGTGTGCCATCTCGGGCTGGGCAACCGGCCCGAGGCGCTCCGCTGGCTCCGGGCTGCCCTGGACGTCTATCCGGGCATGCGCGGCGCGCGGGACATGCTGGAGCAGGCAGAGTTGGAGGACACCTCCCACTCCTTCGCTTCCCCGCTCCTCCACGTCCACCACCCTCTTCCCCCCCCGTCTCCTCCCCCTCCCCTCATCCTTGCATGCTCCACCCGCTCCTCCTTCATCTCCATCCCCCTGCTCCTTACTCTCCTGTCCCCTCCCTCTCTCTCTCTCTCTCTCTCTTTCGTCCTTCCTTCCCCCACTGCCTCCCTCCCTCCTTCCTCATTATTCCGCCATCTCTCCATCCGTCCCTTCCTCCTCCCTCCCTCCCCTCTCCCTTCATTGTTCATTCGCTCCATCCCTTCTCCCTCCCTCCCTCACACCTCTCCCTCCTCTCTGGTCGTCCTCCCCTCCGCAGAGCTTGAGGACATCATGGAGAAGCACCTGCAGCCGCGAATGGACGCGATCGTCGGGGAGTTCAAGAGCGGCTCATCGGCACCCCCCCGGCTAGACAGCTCCTGCTCTTGGGACGTGCACCGCGTGAAGGTGGCGGTCGTCGTCGGCGCCGTCCCCGCTGTCGTCGTCGGGAGGGGGGGCGGGAGGCTCAGGGCAGGGAAAGTCCAACGAGGAGGGGCTGGTTTTCGGGGGCCAGGAGGGGAGAATGGAAGAGGGGGGCACCGTCAACCCGCACAGTAAGGATGAGCGGGTTGCCAAGGTTACCCTTGCATCCTTCCCCTTCGGCCCATTATTGGCCGCGTTCGCTGGCCGCGCCCTGCCCGCAAAGTGTCGACATGGCCTCCCAAGGCCCTTGCATGCTTATCATGCGTCTTTATCGTACGGGTTGACTGTACTTCCGCCGAGCGGATCCGACAGGGGTGGGGGAGGTGGAGGGCTTCGGAGGGTGGTTGCCCAAAAGGGAAGGGGTAGCTTCGGGGGCCCGAGGGGACAGAGGGGGGCAGCAGGGATGGCTTCGGGGAGGGCACCCGTTTGGGCAAGGGGTGGGGGGAGCGGGCAATTTCCGCGAGCCGGGCGGGAAAATTGCGGGAGGGGGAGGGGCTTCGGAACGAGGGCGCCCAAGGGGGGATGGGGTAAACAAAGGGATTTCCCCCCTGCCTAGGGTTGGGTGTCTGGCGTTGCTTCCTCTATCCCCAAACAGTATGTCTCTAGCAATCTACGTTGTGCAACCTATGTCGGGACATACATGTTGTGCAGTCAATGTTGCGCAACCTACAGCCAACCCGCATAGTAAGGATGAGCGGCTTTCCAAGGTTAACCCTTCGGCCCTTCCTTGGCCGTTTTCGCTGGCCGCGCCCCGCCCGCAAAGTGCCGACATGGCCTTCCAAGGCCTTTGTTTCCCTCTCGCGCGTCCTTATTGTACGGGTTGGTTGTAGGTTGTGCAACCCATGTTTTGCAGTAGCAACGATGCGATCGATGAGGTCATGTCTCCGGATCGCAATGAACTGCCAATTCCGTTGCTCGCGCAATCATCCCACCCACCCACACGCAACTTGGTTTGCAAAAGCCGTGCGGCAGCGAATGCGGTGACTGCTTGGCGCTGGCTGGCGCATTGCTGCGGCCGCGCTAGCGCGCGCATGCTCGCGAGCACAGCGGCCAGCTAGTCTGGCGCGACCGACGCGGCCGCTGTGGCGCTGACCGTTGTGCACTTCCCAGCGCGTCTCGCAGGCCGCGCAACGCGTGGCCACTTCAGGTAATTCGGGTGGGCGCGATATCATGGCGACGTCGACAACGGCTGACACGATGATGACGACGCCGCGGCGCCGATGTTGATCACACCGATGATGGTGTCCACGTGTCGGCGACCAAAATTTTGAAAGGATTTCGACATGCGCGCGCGCCCGGTGAGCGCGAGTGGCCCGCGTGGTGTGATTGAACAGGGATCGTGCCCCCCAGCAAGCGCGCAAGAGCGTTCAAATGATTTCGACATACGCGCGCGAGAAAGCCGCTTGGTCGCAGTTGATGGGCATGTTGACAAACTGATGGTCGTCTGAAGAATTCGCAAGAGCGCGCACGCAGACTTGGTTGAAACAAGTGTTGGCACACCATTCGTTGTCAGATGTTTCGGCGTACTCCATTTAAAATCTTGACGACGCCTAAGGTTTTTTGTTTTAGGCAATTGCGGCATGCGCGCGCGACGACGCGTGCATGTGGATTCCGTGCCACGTTTCGCAGTCATTCATTGAAAACTGATGGCTCGTGATAAGCGGGTGCGCACGCATACTATGATTTGACGAGGATGAGGGCGGGGATCGATGCTGGCCTGGCTGGGATGATATGAATTTGTTTGCAAAGTGAACGATGGGGCAGGTTCATATAAAACTGCAGTGTCCCAGGGCGGGGGGCGATAAACCCAGGGGGGTAGTTGTAGATTCGATTTTCTGACGATGCATAGTGTGATATGTATGTGGAGCAATCTATGTGGTTCAATCTGCTTGCAACATATGTTCGCAGTGAGCTGTCAAATCCACTGCTCGCGCAATCATCCCACGCGCCGACCTGCTACTTGGTGCGCACAGCCCGCGAGGCGGCAGGTGCGCTGCCTGTCCGGCGCTGGTTGGCGCATCGCTGCGGCCACGCTAACGCGCGCAGGCTGTCGCGCAGGGGGGCCAGCTGGTCTGGCGCGACCGACGCGGCCGCGGCGGCGCTGACCGCCGGGGATTTTCCAGCGCACCTCACAGGCCGCGCCGACGCGCGGGCACTTCAGCGCGCGTAGTCAATTCGGGCGGGCGCGGTATCATGGCGACGTCGATAGCAGCTGACGCGATGATAATTGCAGCGGTGCTACAGTAGCAACGGCGATGACGATGACGACGGCAAGGCGGATGACGGCGCCGATGCTGGTCACGGCGAGGACGATGACGGTGCCCACGCGTCGCGATGAAGGTTCTGGAAGGATTTCGACACGCGCGCGCGGTCGACGGGCGCGAGTGACCCGCATGGCAGCATTTGATAGGGATCGCACCCCCCCCAGACCCCCCTCCTTAGCACGCGCGCAATTGCGTTCTCATGATTTCAACACGCGCGCGCGACAGGCCCGCCTGGCCGATTTTGATGGACGCGTTGAATGACGCATGCGTGAGGATTTGCAAGAGCGCGCGTGGATATTTTTCCACAACTCATGTAGCCAAAAAAAATGT